ACGCCTCCTGTTACAGATGACCGCCTGTCCTTGGCTGATAATTCTTTTGTAGTTTTCCAAACAAGTATTTCAATTTTATCGTAAAATATAAGTCACGGCCGACACTTTTTTGTTGTCCTGTCAGTTTATAAGTTATCTTACCCTCTCATCCGTTGCTGACCTTCATAGTACAGGCCATAAATCGCAAATAAGTCCCAAGGGTCACAGGATCAAATCCGGCTCAATGCATAAAGTTGTATACACGTGTTATTATCGTGTTTAGTTTTTTGATGGTATTATGAAAATTATATTATTCCAGATAATATTCTGCTTTTGTATTGTTATTTTTGTATTGATAATTAATATAAAATAGTAACAGTAATTATTACTGAATTTAAAAGGAAATCGCGGACATAATTGATTATATAATACGATACTTGTTAGGGTATTTATAGTTGTGATTGGCGTTGTAACTGGTAAATACATGTGTAGATTTGTATGTCTTGTCTATAGAAACGGGTTCTCGAATCCATAAGTTTTATCGTTGTGGCTACTGAACGTATTGTGCTTGGGATCTACACTGAATTTATTGGGCGATTTTACTCTTGTGGGTCTTCTGGGTTGTAGCACCCGTATAATCTGGTAGACGTTTGCCAACGTTTCAGAGGTCCTTGCTGACTCCATTATTGGAGCCTACCCCATCATAAGTTCCTACTAGATTACCTGGCGCAACAATCCAGAAGAGATCCATCTTTGTCTTAATTTTGATTCATGCCGGTCTAATATTGCCTGTGCCCGGGTAGAGGGGTGTCAATTGAGGAAACTAAAAAAAAAATTCTGTAAAGGTACCATTTGGCTGCACGCGACAGAGACAAGCGACCGAGGCAGGCGACAGAGACGGGCCTTCGGACACATCGCAACTTGTCGCCACAAACTTTTGAGGTGACGACCGAGACATGCGGCACGCCAAAATGACAAAGTGTTTGTTTTCTTTGTTTTGTTGAGACATACGTGCACATATTCTGTGAAAAATGAGTACAAAAATTCTTCTAAAAAGGTTACTCGAAGAAGAAGA